TGAGGAAGGTGAAGGAGACCTCTTCTAAAGTCAATCCATGATTCCATAATCAATTGTAGACAGGTTTGGTGGAAGAAATTCACATGCCAGGACCCCCGAACACGGACCTTTTGCACTGGTCCCTGACCATTGCTCTCAGAGTAACTGGCTTCAGCTCCAGCCTCTGCCAGGTCCTAGTGGTGGGATCAAGTGAATAGGCTGGAGGGGATGATCTCCAAGCATCCTTCCAAAACCCTTAGTTTTCTGATAGACACAAAGGAGAGGCTCCTAAAGGTCAGTTGGAAGAAACAACAATCCAAGTCAGAAACAAATCGGCCCTTGCTAGAAGCCCGTCCCAGACCCTCTTCCTTCCAGTGCCTTCCCAGAGCTGTTTATCTCCAATCTACCCTGTAGATATCTTGTTTGTACACAGGTGGTGGCACGTGGTCATGCCCATTAGAGTGTGAGCTCCTTGAGGGCAGGGACTGTCTTTGATCTTTCTTTGTATCCCCAGGGCTGATACATATCAGGTGCTTAATAAATGCTTACTGCCTTGCTGTCTCCCTGAGAGAGAGGGGCTGTATTAGAGATATGCACCATTGTCCACCCTTGGGCTGCTGGCACAGACAGTAAGCAGGAATCCCTTCCTTGGCTGAGCCAACTTCTCTGGAGACTGGACTATTTCATCCTGAAAATCTGAGTACTAAGTCACCTTGGGACCTTTTCTCCCAGGGGGGAAATGGGGCCCCTTTCTCAGCCTCCTTCAGAGCCTCCATTCCCAAGCCTTTAATCATATTCACGGCTGGGTCCATTTTGTAAAGGGCTTTGATCTCTTCAGATAAAAGCTGTCCTTGAAATGAAGAGCGTGATGGTGGTGTGTTACAAAAGGCTTTGAGGAAACAAGAAAAAGACAGAAACAGAAACAGGGAGAGACAGAGACAGAGAGAAAGAAAGGAGAAGAAGAGAGGGAGGGGAGAGAGAGCAGAAAAGAGAGGGAAAGAGAGAGACAGAGAGGGAGAAGAGACGGAGAGGTACTGGGAGGGAGGGAGAGAGAGAGAGAGAGAGAGAGGAGATTGATGGAGAAAAGGAGGGAAGGAGAGAAAGAGAATCTCTAAGTGTTTAGGTTCCCTTCTTTCCCTCCATCTCCTCTCCAGCTGGGAGCCCCAACAATTCATCTTCCAATTACAGGCCATAAGTTCAGTCCATCAAATGTATACTGTAGGAAGTGTCGTGTACAATATGTGCCCTTCCATCTTTGTAGAGCCAGAGAATATTTAGAATTGTTATTAAGGACCTTGAAATATAGAAAGTGAGAAGTTTTAGGGGCTTTGGAAAGGGATTGTCAGAGCTGGAAGGGGTCTTACAACATAGAAAGAAGAATGGGAGGGACCTTAGGAAACAAGTTGTCAGAGCTGGAAGGGGCCTGAGAACAGGGCATGGGAGGGGCTTCAGAACAGGGGATGTCAGGGCTGGGAGGGGCCTCAAAACAAGGGATGGCAGGACTGGGAGGGGCCTTAGAAGAGGCAATAATACTAATACTAGGTCTTCCGTGGCATTTTGAGAATTCCAGGCAAAGTCCTTCAATATTTCACATTCACTGTCTTTGGGGGCCACTTTTGCCATCTTGGTGTTATGAAGTCCAAAGGGCTTTGTTTATTTATTTATTCATTCATTGATTCATTTATTGACTATGGCTGGGGTCCCTGACTCCAAAAGTGTGTAGGGGAATAAGGGCCTTCCAGCAAAGCAGGGCATTTCAATCATTTTGTGTCCTAGGGAGCTGCCTGTAGCCCCAGGGTCCCAGTGACCTTCCTGAGTCACAGGCCAGGATGTGATGAAACAGGACAGACCCAGGTCCACCAGGCTTTGAAGCTGCACTCCTCTGCTTCTCATCACTCATTATTGCTGTTACCATAATGAATGTATCACAATAGTCACAGCTCACATCTCTGCAGCAGTTTGCAAAGAGGACAGTATAAGCGTCCCCTTCACCATCCTCTAGTTGCTCAACCTCAGGTCTCGTCTTGTCGTCTGTCCTGTCAGAAGCTCTGGGGAAGCACTCGGGGCCAGGGGCAGGGAAACTGTGCCCTGATGGATGAACCCAAAGGCACAAAGTTCAAGACAGCCATTGACCGAGCATGGGCCTGATGAAGCCTGCCTAAGCCTTGGGCCAGGCACCCAAGCTCACCTAATAGATGTGGGGCTTCCAACAGGGGAACTGAGCCAGTGTGGGATCTTTGATCAGAGATTTAGAGTGGGAAGTGACCTTAGGAAATGTTAAGGCTAACTCCAGCATTTTTACAGGTGAAGAAAATGAGGCCCAGAGAGGAGTAGGGGCTTGGCCAAGACCGCGAAGCCAGGTTCTCCAAATCCATCCAGACCTCAGTCTGCTGCCCCACTCTGGATCATTAATAGTGGGATGGGGAATCCGGGGATCTGAAACACTTGAGGGAACATTTCTGAAGCACATGCCCTGCCCTCCTCTTCCAGTGGGCACGGGGCACAAAAGGTGGACACAGGCAGGTGATGGTAAGAGAGTCATGGACAGCAGCCAAACAGAAAGAGCAAATCATGGGCTCCCACCTGCCTCAGACAGAGTCGGGGCCCCTGGGCAGCTCTGACCCTACAAGTCACAGAGAAGTTACTGGCTCACTTCAAGGAGCTTCCTATACTATGAAATCAGAGATCCAAACTTCCTTCCCTCCCATTCCCCTCCTCACAAAGAAAAACCCAAAAGACTGAAGCCCCTTGACTGCTAGGACTATATAAAGTGTCCTAAAAGTCTTAGTGAAGATGTAAACTATTACAGCCATTTAAAACTGGAACCTGCACTATGATTTTTGGGACACCCTGGATCTTGTCTAAACTCTGTCTTGGCTCCAGCACCAAGAGCACAGTAGGTACTTAATCCACATATTTTGTGGATTATTTGTTGTTTTGTGGCTATACTGTGGTTTTTGTTTTTACACAGTTATAGTGCTGAATGTTGGACTCTTGACCCACTTTTGCAGGCATGGAATCTCCCCGCAAACTTTGAAGGAAATGGTGGTGGAGTCCCCTCAAAATGCCCCCCTATGTGCCACAGGGCTCCTGATTCTACATCGGGTTCCAGCTCTGGACTCCCACAAACCTAGATTCATCCAAGGAGTCCTGAGCCCAAAGCGGGGGGAGGGGGAGGGAGGGAGAAACCAGGCTTTTTCCTCACATTCTGGCTCATTGCTTCTACCTAAGAATAACTCTAGGGAAATCCCTAAAACCAAGGTTAGGCGTGGTTCACGTCTATGGTCTTCCCAAAATACAGGGGACAGAATTCCTTCTAGGAGAGGGATCCAGTGTCCAATAAAGTTGTCAGATGTGTGTCAGCAAAATATTTGCTCCTCCACCAAAAAGGCTTAAAACGCAGAAGAACTCAGACACCCTTGGCATCCTTCCCACTTCTAAGGGAAGTGATGGTTGGTAAGTCATTTATTGAATCAAGAATACACCTTGTATCTATGATATGTATTTTATTTAATGCATTATAAACATGCCCCCCTCCCCGAGAATGGGTCCATAGGCTTCACCAGACTGACTGCCTGAGGGGCTAGTGACACCAAGAAGGTAGCCAATACCTCTCGACATGTCAGCAGTTGTGAGCTTGCCTGTCCTGAGAAGCAGACACCTGCCCAATACCCTTGGTAACCACAGGGAGGCAGCTGGTGGCACAGGACCTGCAGTGAGGGACGCCTGAACTGTGGGATGTTGAGCAAGTCCCTTTGCCTCTGCCTCAATTTCCTCAACTATAAAATGGAAATAATAATAGCAGCTACCTCCCATGGTTATGGTAATGATCAACTAAGATAATAAGTGTAAAAAGCACTTGGCACAGTGCCTGGCACCTAGCTGATATTCTGTAAGTGCTTATTCCCTTCCGCCTCCCAAAACAACTGCTCCCTGCTGCCAAACGCCCCATTGGGTTATACTTTAGGATGAAACCAGAGAGGAAAAAGCTGCACGGGACCAAGGCTTTGGGAAGGACATCAGTGGAGATCTGCCCACTCGTGGAGCAGAAGAGAAAGAGGACTGGATTTGGCCTAGGTGGATATGGGTTCAGCCTTTTAAGAGCTAGGTAACTTTTAATAAGTCCCATGATTGCTCTGAGCCTCTGTTTGCTCATCACTAAAATGGGAATAATCATCTTTAAAGTACCCAGGGCTGTGATAAGGAAGGAACTTTATCATTTTATAGAATAGTGAAGGTTTAGCTTGTGAGACGCTACAATAAACCCACCTGCAGAGAAGGATTCCCCCCACCAGACACCTTCGAGTATCGTTGGATGACCAGTTGTTGGGGATACTAGAGAGGGAATTCTTGGCTAAATACCAGTTGGACTGGAGGCCTCAGAGGTTCTTTCTGATTCTAGGGTTTCATGATTTGGTCTAACACCGGGGAGCCTGAGCAGGGAGAAAAGTTCTACATTAAGAACCAGACATCCTGTGTTAGACACTTAACCTCTATTTGCCTCAGTTTCTTCACCTGTAAAATAGAGATAGTAAAAGCACCTCCCTCCCAGGATTGTTGTGAGGATCAAATGAAATGATGATTGTAAAGGGCTTAGCACAGTTCCTGACGCATGGTAGGAGCTGTATAAATGCTTATTCCCTTCCCGTGGTTATCATTTTTATTGTTGTTGTCGTTTTTATTAACTCTGCAACCAATTGGTCATGTGACTTTGGGCCTATGATGCCTTCTCAGTAAAGTGGGCAGATCGGACCCCTGTCTACTCGGTGTGATCTCAGGTAAGTCACTTCCTTTTTCTGAGCCTCAGTTTCCCGATCTGCAAGTTGAAACGGCTAGAACCGGCACATTCTCCAGTCTCTTTCAGATCTGCGTTTGCTGATTCTGTTAAGCTAGCTTCATGAGGCTGACGATATGGCAGTAGACACTCCCTCATCCAGCCCGAGGCCACAGGAGGGGGCGTCCTCACATGCACCGTGGTCCCAGAACCGCAGGCTGACATATTTCTCTTTGTCGATCTGCAGGTCTCCTGACAGCTGCAGCATGAGCGAGCGTGTGACCTCCTGGGGACGACGGCTTTAGGCTCCGCATGAGCTCCCTACCGTAGTCCAGTTCCTCCCGCCGTGGATCATCGCCCGCGTATGTCCCTCCCCTCCACCGTCTGTTTCTCTGTTTCTCATCAAAGACAGCCTCATTCTTCGACTGATGCCGTGCGCTAAAGTCTGTCTGGCCATCCAAGGAGCACCGAACTAGGGACCAGAGGGAGCGAGAGATGCTTGGGCATTAGCAATACCCAGTCCGTGGTGAGCGCCCGTCCCCAGGGTCCACTCAGCTGCTGGACTCAATGTGACCCACATGGTGTAATGGAGGCGTCGCCTGCAGAGAAGAGTCCATCCAACCTTAGAGAAGACTGTTTTGTCTACGGGGGGGTCACTCAGGCGCAAGAGAGAGTCTCTCCTCGTGCCCTGGACTGTCTGAGTCGCTTTTATTTTCTTATACTTTCAGTATATACAATAGACCAAAGAGCAAAATCTATTTTAAAGAGGACACAATCTCATTGTTAAAGTTATCCGGGTTCAATTGTAGAGGGGAGGTCGGGGTGGGGGGAGGGAGCAGAGACATGAATGAATCGTGTTGTCGTCGAGCGAGCTGGGCCCTTGCTGTCCAGCAGGCGTCTTTACCGAGGCGTCTTTACCGAGCGAGCGCTGCAGTCTGTAGTCACAGGAACTGCGCCTAAAGACAAGATTTGCCTCTGAAGAATGCAGACAGAGCCTGGAGAGTCAGGAGCGATGTTCTAGACACACGCAAACAGACTTCCACAGAACACAGACTCACCGCCACTGTGTAGCCACCTGCGCCGTGGCCGTGGCCCCTTTATCCCTCTGTACTTAGATTGACTTTATCGTACTAAAAATCATTTTCCGTTTTAACCAGTTAAACATGCCTCTTCTACCGTTCCATTTTTGATAGTTGGATAATCCAGTATTTGCAAAGAGCATGTTTGGTCTCCTGTGACCTCTGTCTCATCCGATGCACCATTTAGCACCAGAAAGCAAATTAAAGAAAAAACAAAAAAACAAAAAAGAAACAAAAAAAAAACAGTAACACTTGTTTGAAAGAGATCATTAAATGTATTTTGAAAATCCTAAAGTTATATATTTAACAGTTTTTATATGTTGTATATTTGTAGAGAATACTATTTAACAATTAACGTGGTAGCTCTCGCAGGCCTGATGAACCGTCCAACTCCCACTGGGCTTTCTAAAGCCTCCAGTCTGGGGAGTGACCACACCACGCAGGATGTGAAGCATGGCCAGGGAGGAGCCTTTCGGAAAGTCACCAATCCTGCTGTTTATATCACATAAAGGCATCCAACCATCACACTGGTGGAAGATGGGGCTTCTTTTAGGTTTGTCTTTGGAATTGGGGGGGTTGCTCTCTGTACTGGTCAAATTTGGGTGTAAAATATTTTAATCATGGCTTTTCCAATTGAGAGGTTTTTTTTTTCCTTTTTCTTAACCCCTTTGCCCATGAGTCTATTTTTATTTTGGTTGGCAGCTCAGTTCCTGTGTCCCCATCTTCCAGAGTTTTTAGCCTTAGTATTATTGGATAGGGAAGAAGTTAGACTGGGGAAAGAAGTGGAGAGCTGGATTAATTCTGAGCTCTGCTATCTTTCTCTAGTCACACTGGGAATGTGACGAGATCACAAGACCCGATGGTGTCCAGCTCTAGCTTCCCCTTTTCCCTGGCAATGAATTGTAACCTAATTCCCATGTCCTTTCTGAATTCCCACTGTAGTATACTACCTATTAGTCCAACTAACATTAGGATTATCTTAGATCTATGCTACTAAGAGAAAACATTTAGACGGTAATCAAGAAACCATGGACTAAAGCTCAAAAGAAAAATGTTCATTTCATTCAAGCCTGTTCCCACATTCTAGGGGACTTAATTTAGACAGGCAGAAATCATGAATTTAGAGGTATCTCTGAGGCAAACCAGTGTATATGATGCTTTTTTTTTTCCTTTTTCAAATTGTATAACAGGTCTGACCTGTATCCAAATAGCGTTTAGCACCATCACTTGCCAGGTGCCATATGCCGTGTAATGCAGGATGGCCCTCCTGCCCCAGAAAGGACCAACAATGGGTTCCACAAGACCAAGAGTACTGGGAGATGCATCGACCCATAGGTTCCCCAACCCAGGCTGTCTCCTCCTTCCTCCCACCTCCGGTTGTTTCTTTCTGAAGAGAGTGTAGTCGCCTTATTTAGCAAAGACCAAGAAATTTAAGATGTTACAACATTTTCTGTTGCTTTACAATATTCAGTTTTTGTGTTGATTCCGCTAAATTATGGAAATAAAGAAAAAAATCCTTTTATAAGCGAGCGTTTTGTTCCCTAGCCGTGACGTGTACACAGAGGGAACAGGACAGACTCTGGGAGTAGTGGGGAATGAGGACTTGGGAAGGGGCCTTGGGGAAAGACAGGCCCTTGTGAAGGGCTGGCTTCTGATGATAGCAGTGCATCTCTGACCGTGTTTGGCTGTTTGGCCACGCAGGACAACACCTTGAACAGGGCCTACAGAAAAGAAAGGACCCAGCCTCAGAGCCAGCACAGGTTAAATGGGGACCTCCCCATGTTGGCCCCCTATGTTCGTGTGTATCACGAGTTTGGTTTGTATACAAGGCCTGGGTGAGGTGGATGCACCAGCATGAGGGGATGGGGGGCTTCCCCTCTACCAGTGGAAGTAACTGCATTGTTGCTTAGAGTTATCTCTCTGCATCTTGCTCCATTCTCTTTCACAGGTATGGACTCCTTCATCTCTGAACTGGAACACATGGCCAGACATTTGAGATTCAAACTGCATTTTTTACTAGGGTATGGCTGAGGAGAATAGGCAAGTGGCATAGAGACTAAATTGGACATACTTCTTTCCAGCTGTGATGTCCAATGTTCTTTTCGGTAAAAATGAATTTGAATTGATATCTTTGTTATACCACCTAAATTTCTCTTGGCATCTCTCCCTCTCCCCTTTCATCCCTCCCATACATGAAAAAAGAAAAGAAAAGAAATTAACAAAAAGAGGAAAGAAAAAAAAACCACCAAACCAATCACTACATGGAAAAATCCGAAAATCTCTTCAGTTTGCCACAGCTGGGGGGTCTGCCACCTCTGCACAGGGTCAAGGGCCGGGGTATTTCTTGTAACTCTTCTTTTCTTTGGGAGTCGTGCTCATTCTTTGTAATTCTGCAACATTCATTTCCAGATGTTTTGTACTGGTTATTCTTCTCATTTACCTTGCTGGTGGACCTGTGTACATAGTTTTCTTGGCTCTGCTGACTTCACTCGGCATAAGGTAACATAGATATTTCCATGCTTCTCTGTATTCATCAGACATGTCGTTTCTTATAGCACAGTAATATTCCATAACACTTAGGTTTATTTTTCCCCTCCACTCTAAGCCTGACTTAGACATTCCCTGTTCTAAGATCCCTCCCCCTTTGACACTTCCTGTTCTGAGGCCCCTCCCAGCTCTAATCCTTTAATATGACAATTATGCTAGTCAGACATCTTGCAGAAAGTCAGATTTCTGCAGCACAGAGTTGATCCCAAGCTGCCAGGGATGACTTCGGAGGACTCTCCCAGCCCTGAAGTTCCCGGTTCTTCCTTTCGATGTCTGTGTCAGATCTTTCAAAGAATCCTAGATCTGGAGCCTGAAGGGACCTCAGAGTTCATCTAGTCCATATCTCTCACTTTTCAGGGGAGAATGCTGAGATCCATCAGTGGTTGGAATTTGCCCCCAGTTGCCCAGGTCATGTGTGGCAATGACAAACCCAGGATTTGAACCCATATCATTTCTTTCTTTATCCAATGCTCATTCCCTTTGGGCCAATTCATCCCTGAAATAGGACATGATGTAAATGACTTTATGGACCACTTTTCAAATGGGAGAAATGTCCATTGAGTACATAGATGTTAGCAGAAGGAGCACTCAGCCAAAGAAGAAGAGGGATATATGATACTGGCTTCAAACTCGTGGCTGGAAAAAATGGCCATAGGGGACATTTAGGAAAGCAATTGGTTTTAAATTAAGGTCATTAGTTTGTTTGTTTTAATGTCCTATGCGGTCCTGAGATAACGGTCTGAAAGCTGGAAGAGACCTAACTTAGGTAATAATCATTACCAAAAGCAAAACAAAACAAACAAACAAAAAACAGAACTAGCCAGGACCCAGTTGTTGTTTTTCCTTCACTCTCAACAAGGACTATGATATCAGAAAGGTGGTGCTGTGACATGCAAGTGAATTGGATTTAAGTGTGTGTGTGTGTGTGGGGGGGGGTGGTGCTGTTCAAAGTCACCAGTCTCACTTTTTCCTTCAGAGCCATTTGAGTCCAGTAATGAGATGTAGATCAGGACAACTGGAGATGGCCCTGGATGCAGTGGGAGACCTTGGCCTTTTTAAGCTAAGAGTTTTTTTTTCCCCTTTTCTTTTTAAATTAATTTATCTTGAATGATCAACAATCACTTCTATAAACTTTTGAGTTTTAAATTTTTCTCCCTCTCCCTCCCTACCTCCCTCCCCAAGATGGTGCACAATCTGATATAGGCTATACATACACATGCCTATTAAACTTATTTTCACATTAGTGCTGTTGTAAGTAGGAATTAGAACTAATAGGATGAACCACCAGAAAGAGGAAACAAAACACAGCAAAAGAAAAAAAAATAGCAAATAGCATGCTCCAATCTGCATTTAAACTCCATAGCTCTTTCCTTGGATGTGGATAGCATTTTCCATCATGAGGCTTTTGGAAATGTGTTAGATCCTCGTATTGCTGAGAAGGGTTAAGTCTATCAGTATTAGTCATTGCACAGTGCGGCTGTTACTGTGTACAATATTCTCCTGATTCTGCTCACTTCACTCTGCACCAGTCCATATAAGTCTTTCCAGGTTTTTCTGAAGTCTGCCTGCTCATCATTTCTTATAGCACAATAGTATTCCATTACATTCATATACCACAATTTGTTCAGTCATTCCCCAATTGATGGGCATCCTCTCAATTTCCAATTCTTTGCCACCACAGAAAGAGCTGCTATAAATATTTTTATACATGTGGGTCCTTTTCTCATTTGTATGATCTCTTTGGGATATAGCCCTAGAAGTTAAGCTAAGGTTTTTTTTTTTTTAAAACAGGTCTCAGTTTGACTGAGGCAATGTCTCACCCAACCTCTACCCAAAAGGAATCCCCACTCTAACATACAGACAAATGATCATCTAGTTTCTACTTAAGGCTCCAAAGAGGCGAACCCACCATCTCCCAGGCAGCCCAGGCCACTTCTGGACAGCTCTAAATTTTAAGAAAAGGTTTCCTGACATCAAGTCTAAACAGATGTTCCTTCCAGTTCCACCTAAATTGAACCTCCTTTTTTGATTGCCTGTAGACTCTCAGAACAGCTCTATTCCCTCTTCCCCATGGTATCTCCTTGAATCCTTGAAGACAGCTGCCATGTTTGCCTGAATATTATCTAGGCTAAACATTGTCATTCCCTTCCATTGATGCCTCTCTCACATGGACTCCTGGCTCTTCATCAGCTTAATGTTTCTGCTCTGAATGTTCCCCATAGTGTCTATGTCCTCCTTAAATTATGGTGCCCAGAAGTGAACCCCAAACTCCAAATGCCCTCTGATTAGGGCAGGGGACAAAGGAGGTCTCACAGTGTCTCTGAGCTGGATGGGAATTCAGAAGCCATCTTCTCCAGCCTGCACCTGATACCAATGCCACATTCCTGGTGTCCCTGCCTCTCTTGATGCTACCCAAGATCACATCCATTTTTTTTTCTGGCTTTCACATGAAACTCCCATCTCATACAGAGTTCACAGTCTATCCAAATCCTCAGGTCTGTTTCAGTCCAATTGCCATCGAACTACTCTTCCCTCACCCTATACATTTTATTCCTATTGACTTTTATCTTACTAGATTCAGTCTAATAATCTAGCCTGTCAAAATCATTTTAAATCCTAACTGTTCTCCAGTGTCTGAGCTATCTTGCCTGCCTTAGTGCTATCTCCTATTCTGCTAAATGTACTCTATATGCCTTTATATAAATCATCATTTAGCATGTTAAACATCACAAGGCCAAGCACAGATCCCTCGGGCACTCTACTAGAGACCTCCTGTCACATTGAAATTGAGCCACTCCAAGGCTAATCTTGGAGTTCAGTGATTCACTAAGTTCTGAATCCATTCATTTGTATCAATGTCTAGTTTCCTACACTTCTGCCTTCCTCAGAAAAATAATGATAGCAAAAAAAGTAGCAAAAAGTTTCCTAAAATCTAGGTAGAGTATAGCTACAAAATCCTGCCTATGTACCAGGTCAATAATCCTTTCAAAAATGGAAATGAGGTTAATCTACTTTGACCTAATCATGATGAATACCAGCTTGCCCCTGTTAATCTCCATTTCACTTTCTAGG